GCCTCCTTCAAACATTTTCTCCTAGAGCTTCCTAGCTCCTACCTCTGGACTCCTTCAGGCTTTTCTCATTTGAGCAAGATAACCACTCCCGTTTCGCTTATTCTACTTCCTTACCCACCCCCAAGCCTGTCTTCTACTTCCTTACTCACCCCCAAGCCTATCGCTATCCCCCAGCCCCCAACCAGGTTGGTGGTAGGGCAGGCAGTGAGGCAGATGGCTGGGGTATTTATAACCCAGGAGCACTTCTTGGGAAAAGTGACTAAGATGCTAAGAGCGTATTTATAGCTGAGCTCTGACGTAAGTGTCAGTGGGGAGGTAGGGCCAGGCCAGGCGCAGCAGCAAGGAGGTGGGAAGAGCTGGAAATTGGGGGCACTTGACAGTGAGGGTGGGGAGAGATGGGGTCAGTGACTCCTGCAGCCACTTCTTGTCACTTTCCCGACTGCCTACTGATACCAACAGGTAAGCCTTCTGAGGCACCACCATGGATAGATACCTCTGCTTTGCCGACCCGATGTTCCAGACCAGAGGGGGTAGAGGGCTGTCATTTACCAGCCCGACCAACAGAATGGGAGTTGGGAGCTGAGAACACTGGACAGAGCTCTTGAATGTGTTTCAGAACGTGGGGAGAAATGAAGGGTGGACAGGAGGATCTAAGTGTCTCAGTGCGCCCCCACCCCACTCCACCCCCACCAAATAGTGCCCTGAGGTTCTAGGAAAAGCCTGGTACATCACCAAGCTCCATTGACACGTGTTTGTATGAGGAAGTCCAAAACCAAAGGTAGCAGTGATGTGGATCCTGAAGACAGTCTCTCTTCTCTGGCAGTGTGATGGGGAAAGAACAGAGGAACCAGCGTGTCCCTGTCTCTTGTGGGTGAGGCAGGGTCCCCAGAGGGAGAGGTCAAGGAGCACTCTTCATTGCTGCATTTCCCAGAGCTGCCCCTTCCCTGTCCCTGGGAAGCTCCAGCCAGCTACAAGCCAGCTGCTGTCCAGAGGCACGGCACTGCCACATGGTGGACACTGGTGGTACTGGGGCCCAGCCCTCCAAGTAGGACCCCAGTTCCCCAGATCTAATAGTCTCTCTTGACAGCCCCCATCATCTAAATAGAGGGGAGATGAACAAAGTGGAGTAAGGACGCATTTCCAAATCACACCCACTTCCCCCACAGCTTTCTCCCCGTCAAGCTTCTTGGAGAAACTAAGGAGAAAAGCTAGCATGAGGCCCACCCTCATGAATTCAAGGTGGAGGGGTCTGGGTCCCCCCATTTAAAGCCAGTGAGGACTGGGTGCAGTGGCTTATGTCTATAATCCTAGCACCTTGGGAGGCTGAGGTGAGAGGATCACTTGAGATCACCCTGGGCAATACAACAAGACCCTGTCTCTACAAAAGAATAAAAAATAAATTAGCCTGGCGTGGTGGCACGCACTTGTAGACTTAGCTACTCTGGAGGCTGAGGTGGAAGAATCACTTAACCTGGGAAGTCGAGGCTGCAGTGACCCAGGCCACCACACTCCAGCCTGGATGACAAAGTGAGACCCTGTCTCAAAAATATAAAAACTAAAATAAAAAATAAAGCCAGTGAGGAAATGTGGTCAGGACGGCTGAGACTGGGAACCAAGACTGCTGTACTTGCCTTGCTTTGTTGTCAATAGCTCTTAAAGCTCCATTTTCTACCCCCATTAATAGGCCTGAAGGGTGGTGCAGTGGCTCACGCCTATAACCTCAGCACTTTAGGAGGCTAAGGCAAGTGGATTGCTTGGGCCCAGGAGTTCAAGACCAGCCTGGGCAACATAGCAAGACCCCATCTCTATGAAAAATTTAAAAATTATTCAGGTGTGGTGGTGTGCACCTGAAGTCCCAGCTACTAAGGAGGCTGAGGCAGGACGATTGCCTGAGCCCAGGAGTTCAAGGCTGCAGTGAGCAATGATTGTGCCACTGCACTCCAGCCTGGACAACAGATTGAGACCTCACCTAAATAAAATAAAATAAAATTTAAATTCCAAAAATTTAAGAAAAAAAAGACCTGGCACTACTTCTAGGATGCCCCAAATTTAGGCAACTCTCACAGTCACTTGAAAGAGAAGTGGCAGCTGGGTATATGCCCTCCCAAGTGTCATGCCCCTTGACAGTCCTGGTGGACTCTGCCCTGTGCAAGATTGCATCACCACCACCACCACCTCTCTGGGCTTCCCCAGACATCACAGGAACACATTCCCCACCCCAACCCCCCCGCTCTGGCCCTCCTCCACATCATGCTGCAGGCCAACTGGACTCTGGGCGGCCAGCACAGGCAGGGTCAGGGGGTGACTTCTGTGCCTCGTGGCACTGCCATCTGGGCCTGAGCAAGAGGGTTCCATTCTCCGACCCACCCAACCCCTCACCCCTGTCCCAACATCAATGCTAGAAATAAGGAGACCAGAATTTTCCTTCTGGCCTAAGGGCCCCAGAGAAATACCCACTGGAGCTCACAGCTGCCTCATGGAAACTGCTGCAGCAGTGGTGAAGCTAGAAAGACTAGAGGTATGAGGGAAAATTGCCCTTCCCCACCTGGCTCATAAGGCGTTCCCTCCCCCGAGTTCCAGACCTTGGGGACTGAGTATGTGAAATCATCCTCTTTCTTGCATCATGCGTGTCCACATTGCACCCCCCCACCCCCATACCCCTACTTCAGGCCCAGTCACCATGGCCAGATGGTGAAACCTGAGCTGGTGGGGAGGAGGACCTCCACCCCCTGCAGGGGCCTGATGGGCAGCACAGCTGGCCAATCCTGGGACTCAGAGGGTAGGTCGGCTGGCTGACCACTAGGTTTGGAAGCCCCAGGCAGCTGGCTCTAAAGAGGCCCCAGGTCAGTAGCCAGACATGAGCTGTGAGGGTCAAGCACAGCTATCCATCAGATGATCTACTTTCAGCCTTCCTGAGTCCCAGGCAATAGAAGACAGGTGGCTCTACCCTTGGCCAAGTGTGGGTGTGGCAGTGGTGTCTGCTGTCACTGTGCCTTCATTGGCCCCCAGCAATCAGACTCAACAGACGGAGCAACTGCCATCCGAGGCTCCCGAACCAGGGCCATTCACCAGGAGCATGGGGCTCCCTGATGTCCAGCTCTGGCTGGTGCTGCTGTGGACATTGGTGCGGGCACAGGGGACAGGGTCTGTGTGTCCCTCCTGTGGGGGCTCCAAACTGGCACCCCAAGCAGAACGAGCTCTGGTGCTGGAGCTAGCCAAGCAGCAAATCCTGGAGGGGTTGCACCTGACCAGTCGTCCCAGAATAACTCATCCTCCACCCCAGGCAGTGCTGACCAGAGCCCTCCGGAGACTACAGCCGGGGAGTGTGGCTCCAGGGAATGGGGAGGAGGTCATCAGCTTTGCTACTGTCACAGGTGGGTGATGGAGAGAGCAACAGGCAGAGAGCAGACAGGTAAAGGGAGGCAGAAGGGGAGCCTGGCAGGAGCACCAGAGGGAGTGGGGTGTGGCAGGAGAAGGAGGAGGTGGGGCAGGGACTGGTTGCAGAGGACACAAAGCAATCTCTACTTTTCTAAAGGTGGTTTCGAGGGAGATCAGTGGGCAGGGCTCGGGGAGTCTCAGAGGAGAGCTTCATCTCTGCTCACATTTTCTTTCCCTTCTCTGTCTTTCGGGCAGACTCCACTTCAGCCTACAGCTCCCTGCTTACCTTTCACCTGTCCACTCCTCAGTCCCATCACCTGTACCATGCCCGCCTGTGGCTGCACATGCTCCCCACCCTTCCTGGCACTCTTTGCTTGAGGATCTTCCGATGGGGACCAAGGAGGAGGCACCAAGGGTCCCGCACCCTTCTGGCTGAGCACCACATCACCAACCTGGGCTGGCATGCCTTAACTCTGCCCTCTAGTGGCTTGAGGGGTGAGAAGTCTGGTGTCCTGAAACTGCAACTAGACTGCAGACCCCTAGAAGGCAACAACAGCACAGTTACTGGACAACCAAGGCGGCTCCTGGACACAGCAGGACACCAGCAGCCCTTCCTAGAGCTTAAGATCCGAGCCAATGAGCCTGGAGCAGGTCGGGCCAGGAGGAGGACCCCCACCTGTGAGCCTGCAACCCCCTTATGTTGCAGGCGAGATCATTACGTAGACTTCCAGGAACTGGGATGGCGGGACTGGATACTGCAGCCCGAGGGGTACCAGCTGAATTACTGCAGTGGGCAGTGCCCTCCCCACCTGGCTGGCAGCCCGGGCATTGCTGCCTCTTTCCATTCTGCCGTCTTCAGCCTCCTCAAAGCCAACAATCCTTGGCCTGCCAGTACCTCCTGCTGTGTCCCTACTGCCCGAAGGCCCCTTTCTCTCCTCTACCTGGATCATAATGGCAATGTGGTCAAGACGGATGTGCCAGATATGGTGGTGGAGGCCTGTGGCTGCAGCTAGCAAGAGGACCTGGGGCTTTGGAGTGAAGAGACCAAGATGAAGTTTCCCAGGCACAGGGCATCTGCGGCTGGAGGCATCAGATTCCTGATCCACACCCCAACCCAACAACCACCTGGCAATATGACTCACTTGACCCCTATGGAACCCAAATGGGCACTTTCTTGTCTGAGACTCTGGCTTGTTCCAGGTTGGCTGATGTGTTGGCAGATGGGTAAAGCATTTGTTCTAAAGGGGTCTACTCAGAAAGCATGATTTTCCTGCCCTAAGTCCTGTAAGATGTCAGGGACTAGGGAGGGAGGGAGGGAAGGCAGAGAAAAATTAGCCTCTCCCAAGATGAGAAAGTCCTCAAGTGAGGGGAGGAGGAAGCAGATAGATGGTCCAGCAGGCTTGAAGCAGGGTAAGCAGGCTGGCCCAGGGTAAGGCCTGTTGAAGCGCCTTAAGGGAGGGTCAAGAGGGAGATGGGCAAGACGCTGAGGGAGGATGCTTAGAGGACCCCCAGAAACAGGAGTCAGGAAAGAGAGGTACTAAGCCTAAGAAGTTCCCAGGTTTTTCCCAGGGGACAGGACCCACTGGGAGACAAGCATTTATACTTTCTTTTTTCTTTTATTTTTCCTTTCTTTTTTTTTTTTTTTTTGAGACGGAGTCTCGCTCTGTCATCAGGCTAGAGTGCAGTGGCACGATCTCGGCTCACTGCAAACTCCGCCTCCCAGTTTCAAGTGATTCTCCTGCCTCAGCCTTCTGAGTAGCTGGGATTACAGGTGCCCACTAATTTTTGTATTCTTAGTAGAGACGAGGTTTCAACATGTTGGCCAGGATGGTCTCGATCTCTTGACCTCGTGATCCACCCGACTTAGCCTCCCAAAGTGCTGGGATTACAGGCGTGAGCCACCGCGCCCGGCTTATACTTTCTTAATAAAAAGGAGAAAGAAAATCAATAAATGTGACTCATAAAGAAGGGTTCAGGTGATGGTCCGGAGCAACAGTTCTCCAAGTGTGTTCCGTAGGCTTCTGGGAGGTCCCTCTTCAGGGGTGTCCACAAAGTCAAAACTATTTTCATAATTATACTAACATGTTATTTGCCTTTTGAATTCTCATTATCTTAAAATTGTACAGTGGAGTTTTCCAGAGGCTGTGTGACATGTGATTACATCATCTTTCTGACATCATTGTTAATGGAATGTGTGCTTGTATAGTCTTGTGTTAGTCTTTTTCAGTTTTAATTTCTAATGTAGTGAATGATTTTTTTTTTTTTTTTTTTGAGACAGAGTCTCACTCTGTCACCCAGCTGGAGTGCAGTGGCGTGATCTCGGCTCACTGCGACCTCCACCTCCCAGGTTCAAGCGATTCTCCTGCCTCAGCCTCCCAAGTAGCTGGGACTACAGGTCTGCGCCACTACGCCCAGCTATTTTTTTGTATTTTTAGTAGAGACAGGGTTTCGTCATGTTGGCCAGGCTGGTCTCGGACTCCTGACCTGAGGTGATCTGCCTGCCTTGGCCTTCCAAAGTGCTGCAATTACAGGTCTGAGCCACCGTGACTGACCTAATGACTTTTAAGAGTATAGAGGAAACCAAAAAGTTTGAGACTCACTGGTCTACAGAACTGGGTGGGGAGAAGAAAGTAACGTGTTCTAAGAGAGCTCCTCTTGCTGGGCACCAGTGGTCCCAGTTACTTGGGAGGCTAAGGTGGGAAGACCGCTTAAACCCAGGAGTTCAAGGCTATGATCACACTTGTGAATAGCCTCTGCACTCCAGCCTGGGCAAATAGTGAGACCCCATCCCAAACAAAAATAAATGCATACATACCTACATACATAAATAGCTCCTCTGGAAGAAGGGGCTTGAGGCTGGGACAGGAGCATGTGGGGTGCCTTTTTTTCAGTGACCATTAGTCTGGTCTGATTAAGCTGGGTCTCTGACCCTCTGGGGATAACTAGTCTGGGTCAAAGTCCCTGACCTCCTCCTACCTTCACCTTTTCTTTTCCCCCTTGACTCTCAGACTGAACAGTTAACCCACTGACCTTCCAGACCCAAGGGGGTGGTTCTTGGAAGCAGAGCTAGAATGTGGGAGGTCTGCCTGTGAGGTTGAAAAAAAGGGGAGAGGGTGCTCCTTTTCTCTATCATGTTTTCTCCTCTTTCTCATAAAAATCAGAGACTGAAATGCTGCCCCTCCCCTATATCCAGTCACGATGGCAACGCAAATCTAAAGAGGCAGGGCACTTCCCTGTCAGGCAGTACCGCTGGGCATAGCAATCTCTGCCTCTCCGTTTCTCTGAGCTCACCTATCCACCTCCTGGGCTTCTAAATGGGCTTTAGTGAGGGGACCTGTCTGGGCTCCTCCTTCAGCTCCCTCAGCTCTTCTGCTTCGACTCCGAGCGGGTGTCATGTGTGAGAACGGCCAGCAGAGGGAGTAGAAAGCCTGGAAGAGCGGCTAGAGCCTGCAGTGGCGTGGTGCAGAGGGGCCTCAGTCTCCAGAACTTCGAGACGCAGAGCCGGGGTTCCCCGGAAAGGGGCTTCAGTCCCAGTGCTCCTTGGTGACCTCATGAACACACACCCTGCATCCACAGCCTCAGCCGCTGCTCCTTGCTTTTATGCTCCAGAGACTCCTCACCTTCTGCCAGAGCCCCCAACCCCTCAACTTGATTTGCCCCAAACCCCAGCTCTGCCCCAGCAGCTCCAAGTTCCATCCAAAGGGTGAGGCCTGCCAATAAACCACAGGATGACAGAATGCTCAGTTAGCACCAACCAAAGGCGACTACCCCACCTCCACTATTATCGTTCTCGGTTGAACTCCCCCTGCCCTGCAATATTTTCCTCAATCTGGTTGTGGGAGCCTCTTTGGGACCAGCCGATCCAAAAATCCAAGCCGGGATTTACTACCTACCAACAGCAGCGTGTTCAGCGGG